GTGGCCGCCTCGCCGCGGGCCGGGCCGCGCGCCCCGCCCCAGTGGGGGTGCGCAGGGCGGGGCGGGAATTCCGCAAAAGCCGAAAACCCACGCGGAAGCCGGCGCTGGAGCGGCCGCGTGGAATCTGTTCTTTCCCGTGCGCTGCACGAAACCCGGGGGCCTTGGTGCAATCTGCACGGGAGCCTGGGACCCGGGGGCCCGGGGTCCCGGGGCGCGCGCGTGCAGAAGGCCGCGCCAAGGCTCGGACCCGCGCTCCGGTGCCCCGCCTCGCCGGCCGGTGCACCGCTCCCACCCTGCGGCCGAGGCCGGGAGGGAGGGAGGCGAGCGCGCAGACGACGGGAAGGCAGCCAGGTAGGCAGCTTTGCCCTGGGGCCCAGGTAAGAACCGCAGCAGCTGCTGCGTCGCTGCCAGCACGAATTTGTACAGCAGTCACTTCGGCAGCCGGCGCGGGAGTGAAGAAAAACGCACATTTGCCTCACCGGTGGGTGAACTGCGGGCTGGGAAAGGGGAGGGCGCGGCGTCCGCCGGCGCCTGCACCGCGGAGCAGCCCGGCGCCCCGGAGGGAAGCTGCTTCGCCGTGCCCTCCGCCGCGGGCCGCGCGTGCTTTGCTCTTTGCAGCCCGGGACGGGCCGCACGCGGAGAGGGCGCGCGCAGCCGGCGCCGGACCGCCCCAGTGAGCGCCAGAGCGCGCTTGGAGATAGGTCATGCAAGGATAGTTCGCAATGCTGCGCAGGCCGGGGCCGCGGCGGGTCCCACGCCCGACTTCCCCGCACCGCGCAGGCTAACCGGGTATAGGAAGGACCCAGTGCCCGCTAAGACCTGAGCAGTCCACGTGGGCAGCTGCTCTGGGGCCAAGTTAAGGCCAGAGCTTGACTTGAGGGCGTGACTTGAGGGCGTCACGTGACTTGAGGGCGTCCTCCCCTCCCCAGAACACGTCCCCTGCCAGCCCCTGGAGGGACGGTGATCCCCGCTCCTCTCCTGTGTGCACTCCAGATGCAGAGCATCCGCCCCCCACCAAAACCCTGCCCTCTGACCCGGCGCCCGGCTGCCAGACACCCACTTCCGGGGCAGTGGGCAGCGTCTGGAGCCAGTCACGATGGGGGCGAGCTAGTGACGTCCAGTGGGCAGAGGCCAGGGACACTGAGCAGGCTCAGCAACACCCAGGGTCCCCCACGCCCAGGAGGGCCCCCAACACCCAGGAGGGCCCCCCACACCCAGGAGGGCCCCCCACACCCAGGAGGGCCCCCACGCCCAGGATGGCCCCCCACGCCCAGGATGGCCCCCCACACCCAGGAGGGCCCCCCACGCCCAGGATGGACCCCCACACCCAGGATGGCCCCCCACACCCAGGAGGGCCCCCCACACCCAGGAGGGCCCCCACGCCCAGGAGGGCCCCCACACCCAGGATGGCCCCACACGCCCAGGATGGCCCCCCACACCCAGGAGGGGCCCCCACGCCCAGGAGGGCCCCACACACCCAGGACGGTCCTCCACACCCAGGGCGGTCCCCACACTCAGGAGTGCCCTCCACACCCAGGAGGGCCCCCCATGCCCAGGTGGGCCCCCATACCCAAGAGGGCCCCCCATGCCCAGGTGGACCCCCACGCCCAGGAGGGCCCCCATGCCCAGGAGGGTCCCCACACCTAGGAAGGGCTCCCATGCCCAGGAAGGCCCCCATACCCAGGAGGGCCCCCACATCCAGGGCAGTCCCCACACCCAGGAGGGCCCCCCACACCCAGGAGGGGCCCCCCACACAGGAGGGGCCCCCCCACACAGGAGGGCCCCCTACACAATGTAACTAGTGTGAGGCTGAGAAAATGGAGCCCCGATACTCAAACGTGGAACTCAGTCCATGAGCACTGAGCTTTGGTGGATCCCCCTTTTGGAAAACCTTCAGATATGTAACACCTTTGTCTCATATTGCCAAAATAATCCTAATTTTTAAAGTAACATAGTTCCACCTGCTTGTAATGAAAAATAAACCTTCCCTGCCTGCTCCCCACCCACTGAGCACTTCTGCGTGTGCACACGCACACACACACACACACACGCGCGCACACAAACACACGCACGCACACAAACACACGCGCGCACACACACCTTACAAGCCATGTGCATCGGCTGCTAGTTCTTGTGCATCCCTCCCGTGGAAAGCAGTGGTTTAGCCCTCTACTAATTCTCTCACCTCTCACCTCTTCTCTTCTGTGTCCTCAGCATAGTAGATCCCAATGTTTTATCAAACTGATAGCCACTGGTTTCATGTATTATTGTGTAAATATTGTTCACAGCCAACCCACTTCTTGCATTATAATTTCTCCTCCCCCACCCTCTCTCTCTCTCTCTCTTTCTCTCTCTCTCCCTCTCTCCCTCAAAACAGGGTCTTACTATGTAGCCCAGGCTGGCTTGTGGCAATCCTCCTGCCTCAGCCTCCCCAGTGCTGGCATTACAGGGGTGTGCCACCGTGCCCAGCATTTTCTTGTGCGACTTTTTAACTGAAGTTAGTAATTGCCTTTCTTTTCTCCACTAATGTGGTTCGTATATTCACCTCTGAAGCCTTTGTGTCCAGTTTCCTAACAGGACCTTAAATCCTCCCCATAAAGTCAGACAGCTCAGAGGGCCCGCCTCGTGAGGTTTCATCGCTCCTGCCCCAGAGCCTTCCTGCCAGGTCCCATCTGAACCTGAATGCACGCTCTGGAGGAGGCGGGCTGTGAGCACCAGGAACGTCCCTTTGCCGTCACGCACCCCCTGTGCCTGCTACTCTGCTTCTTCCGCGTCTGGAGCCCTCATCCCCTCAGTCCCCTTCTCTCCAAGAAAGGACAGGGCCCTGGTGAGCCGTCGATGGGTACAGCAGGCTCGCTTTCTCCTGTTGTCCAGAAATCTGCCTGGCGCCCAGCGGCGTGCACGAGGACTGTGGATTTCTAACCCGGAACTCATTTTTGCCTCAGAGTTTTGAAGCACTTGTTCCCTGGTCTTCTGCACCCCGGGGTTACTGTGGAAGCCACAGCTTCTCGAGGTCCTGGGGGAAATTCGGCTCTCGGGCCTTGGTATCTGAGTCTCATTCCTTAGTGGGTGGACTTCCCCAGACTCCTGTCTGCACCCTCTCCTGGCCCTCAGGAGCACCTGGCACCCACACGTCAGGGCACGCGTAGCGCTTGTTCTCGGGAAACCAGCACGTTGTCCTCTGCCGGGCTAGGGAGGCCGAGCCTGGCTCCAGGGGTGCCTGACTCCAGCCCGCCCTGGCCCCGACTTCCCTTGCTTGCTGGTTTCCCCTGTAGAGACTTCGGCTCCAACCTCCTCCACAACAGCCCCAGCCCACCCCCACCCATCTGCAGGCGGTAGGGTGCTGTGCCTGGCGTTGGTCTGCTCCCCGGTTCTGCTGTGCTGTTCTGTTCTTGAATGTGCAGCTTTATATCTCTATTGCAGACCAATAAAAGATGCAGGGAATCCCCTTGGGCTCCCTCATCCTTCTTCCTCCCCTTCCTTGGTGCCTCCTTTGCCGTTTTATTGGAACCCCCTCAGTTTCTCTGTTGAAGTCCTAACCCCAGGACCTTAGCACACGGCCTCCTTTGGAGACGGCATCATTGCAGACATGACACGGATGAGGTCACACTTGAATACGGTGGGCGCGAATCAATGTGGTGTCCTGCAGGGCACCGTGACATCCACAGGCACATAGCAAGAACGTGTGTACAGACTGGCACTGTGGGGCCATAGGCCAGGGGTACCAGATGCTGGAGAGCTGGGATAGGGCCTTCCCTAGCACCTGGGAGGGAGTGAGGCCCTGCAGACGCTGGACTTCCGGCCTCCAGACCTTCAGCTGGTAGCACAGCCTGGCCTGGGCGCCCCAGGGCCAAAGCAGCCTCACACCGGGTCACAGCCCCCTGCAGCTGGGCCCTCATGCATAAGCTTGTCCTGCCTGGTGTCCCTTCCTTCCTTTCAGAACCCCCTAGAACCCCTGGGTTCCCCTGTAAAGGACCTCACTCTGGACAGCTGAGGGACCCTGTGCTTGGCCCGGGACGCAGCCCACCCGCACCAAACACGGCCCGAAGCAGGAGTGACTGTAACCACAGCACCACAGACGCTGGCATCCAGCACCCTGGACGGACACAGCACCAGCACCCACAGTGCCGGTCTTCACCCCCGCTGCAGGTCTCAGAGGGGGACACTGAGGCCAGTCGGCGGCCACTCAGGCGTATGTCGGATGTGGCAGAGATGAGACTGAACTGCAGCTCCACTGAGTTCTCCCGCCTGCCGGGCCGTCCCGGGAGGCAGAGGGCCCGTGGGAGAGGGGTCAGCCCGGCCTCGTGGGACAGCCCTTCTGGGGCCCAAATGGGCAGTGCCCGCAGCTCCTCTGCATGGCTCACCACGCACAGCCTGCAGCATCAAGCTCCTGGCCAGCGAGGACCACAGGGATCTCACCCCAAAGCCAGGAGCCCTCCTGCACCCGGGAGCCCAGAGAAACCGCTGTGGAACGTGGTGTTCGGTGCAGCCTTGCGTGGGTGGAAGGCCCACGTGTGTGCAGGGGTGTGTGTGCAGGGGTGTGTGTGCAGGGGTGTGCGTTTGCTTATGTGTGTGCAGGACTGTGTACGGGTGTGTGTGCAGGGGTGTGTGTGCAGGGGTGTGTGTGCAGGGGTGTGTGTGCAGGGGTGTGCGTTTGCTTATGTGTGTGCAGGACTGTGTACCAGCGTCGAGGGCAGCACGGAGGCAGAGCCACCCGCTGTCTCCTGTTGAGAGGGTGTGACCACAGACAGAGCAGGGTGGCACTGCCCTTTCATTTGCCTTGTGCCGCTTTTCTGACAGTGCAGGAGAAACCTGTCAGCACGTCCAGGGCACCAATCACCACAGCATCTTAAAACCAAAGCGACAGAACTC